ATTCTCCTTCTCTAGAATACTCTTTCCTATTTCTTCAGCTCTTTAATCTATTACTCGATCCCTCAGATTTGCGAAACTCGCTCTCTCTCTCGCACTCACCTCGTCTTACGCACTTTTCTATCTCTTTTTTTGCTCGCTTTTATGCTTCAATATAATTCTCTTCTCAGAAGCTTCTTTAAAACACTCATGAAGTCATCTCTCCTCTTCGCCTCAGTTTAGATTACCACCACAATTTTCGCCGAAGACTAAGACAATGAATTGGACGTATTTCTGCCAAACAGAACTATGTGTATTACGACGTGAGCCCTGTTATGCATGTATTCGTATAAGTCTTAGGGCTTATGACTATAAATGCACATAGTTCCGTTTGGCAGAAATACGTCCAATTGGGTTCTTGCCTTGTCAAATTCTTAGAGGAGCCACGCATCGAGAGAAATATCTCCAATTACATGAAAGCTCTAATATTACGAGATGAGCATTTTCCCCATTTTTCATAGATATATATTTTCTAAAAATACAATATTTGAAGAAAGTATTGTAGCAAAGTGTTAAAGCAGTCATGTAAGGACATACAATATTTACAATTGGTATCGATGTAGACACTCGAATCTATTTTACTTCGGCTAATAGAGTTATTGTGGTTCCTATAGGTACATGCGTTAAGATTTTTAAATGATTAGCTAATTTGGATGGAATAATTGCTAATAGATTCAATCCACATGGTATTTTTATTTACAGAGGTTTTAATTTTATTTACTGGGAGGAGTGGCATATCGTGAAACTACGGGACCACGTATCTCGGTTTGTGACGTCGTAGACTTCCTGTCTTGGATGAAAATCTGCTCAACGTCAATTCTTGAAAACTTCTGTGATTTTTCCTCTCTGAGTGAGGAAAAATGTGTGAAAACTTCAAAGAACGATATTGGTTTGTTCTCATTCACAAAAATAAAATGGGAACGCAGATTTTTAAACAAACGAGATGCGTAGTCGGATATTTTCACAGTCGATATGCCTCGCGTATGTGTTTTGAATACAAGGTGTCCCAGAGTTAAACCAAAAGACTGCATACGCGTGTGCCATGAGTCAAATTTAGACTTTTCCCACAGTAAAGTTGAATATTAAAGGTGCCTTTTGTTTCATTTCGGAGCTGCGACCTATCTATATTGATGTTAAGTTTTAGTAAAAGGAATCAAGAAAGCTTTTGTGGCTTTGCAAAATATGCGCATCTCACCGCCTGGCTACAGCTAAAAGTCTCGGAAACTCCAATGCAATTAATTTTATCAAAAGTGAATTGAATTTACTTTTGATCACGTTATCAAATCAAAACTCAACTCATTATTTCCATCGGTGGACATCTATCTACAGAGAGTTTGCTTAGAGTGAGAAGTCAACCTTGTGTCAACTTTTCCGTCATAAAATTAATGGCGACCAAAGTTTTTACATCAGGAGCAGGAGCATAAGCTTCCAGTGAACGTGTGGAAGTTCAACTCCGAAATCTGAAACTTGTTCCTCTTATTCATCTGAGGCTCCACAGCGCTTTCCGACCCCACTTCAGTTGGATTAGCAACTCCACAGTGGAGTCATCCTGAAAGGGAGGTTGCCAAGACGTCCAAGAATGGTGCGAGAATTGGTGCAGGATCGGTGCAAGATTCAATTTCAAGAAACGTGCATTTCAAGACAACTAATCCAACTCAAAACTACGAACAAGGTTGCGGGAGAAAGAGGTAAGAAAAGTATCGATAGAGCTTTTCTGTCGAATTTGGATTAAATTTGTCTCGGTTGGACTGTGCAGTGTGCGTGTGCACTGATAGGGTGGGAGGTGTCACTAACTCTATAGTAAATGGTTAATGTATATGCCTAAAATAGTATAAGGTATGCGCCCCCTTTAAGTGTTGGTAGCACTATGTGCTCAAGCACGGCAGTATTCCAGTACGATTATGTGTTCGAGTCCCATGTGTTGGGAGTCCATTTCACCTTGTATTATGAGTTCAGCGAATGGAAGGTAATTCACTCCAAATATCCTTCACGAATTTCGGTTATACTGCTCGTTTATTTGGAGTGCAATACTAGCCCCCGGTGCTACGACTGTTTTTAACGATGAACGTGAAAAAATGAGGATGAAAAAAGACGAAAAACAAAAAATATTAGAAAATTCTGACGGTGCAATATGCATAGGCCATTGTGTCTGAGTGACGCGCTGATTTAAGAATAAACTGGCCTGAGAAAGTTTACACAATTTTTTTGCAATTTTTACGATTTTCCTGCAAGCGAGTTAGGGGGATTTTTTATTATTTTGCTCAAATCCGACGCAAAGAGGGGATATCAAACGGAGACTTACCGAACTTTTCTTGTTAATGATGAGCGTGGATGAAAACGCCCAGTGTTTAAAGAATAAAATGAAAAATACTGAGAATGTCTAAGGATATTCTTCTAAAAAAAAGGAGAAAAGCAAATTGAACCGTTGCTCCTTTTGATAAAAATCCTCCAATTCAAGTTGCTTACCCGAATTATAAGGATAGAGTTTGACAACGATGCAGTAAAGTTGGATTGGATCGGTGGCTTGACACGGTGCTTGTTTGACGACGCAAGAAGCTCTAGTTCATCAGCTCAACGAAAGTGAGGTTATGAGTCAAGTTGAGACCACCTCCGCGTTAATTGGGGGACCTAGGGAACTTTTACTCGTAAAAACCAACTCCGCCTCGCCTCTGTTTCAGCAGTGCCGGCGGACAACTTTTTAAAGAGTGCTTCGACTAACAAACCTGTCTCTAAGCGGATTTCATCAAAGTTGACGCTCAAGTGCTTAACTCGCATCATTTACGAAAATGTGACAAGAGTCAAGTCTCCGCTGAACCTGCTCAACTCTTAGTTTTCATCATTTTAGAAGACTCGCTCCGTAGATGACGCGACTTCTTTCCGTTAGTCTGCACGGATGCATTTGATGACAAAAAGGAGATCAAGGGAAGAAGCAATCAGCTGTACATGCTGCCTATAAAGTATGCCTTGTGCAGGGCCGGATTTTCCTTCTTGCCGCCCATGGGCCGCCTGTATTTTGCCGCCCCCTTCTCATTCGTTTTGAGACATCAATAAAATCATCAAGTGAACGTGCCAGCGGGGGAGGGGTGCATAAGACGCTTTTACTTGTGTTGAACACATTTTTTGGGAAAGCCCTGTCAACACTACTAGCAAAAGGTCACGGAACTTTGCTCGAAAATCGAGTTTCGTAAACCTATCTCTGTGTGGACAAGGCCTTCCATTTATAAGAAATGAACGAAAAAATTATGAAAGAACAAACACAAAATTTGGTTTAATGATTTTAACTTCCGCCGCCGCACCGCGCCGACTGCACCGTGTTTGGCGCAATGCGTGAAGTATTCACGCAGTCGTGTAGGCGCTAATATGTGTTACATGCCGACCGCCGCGCCGAGGGCCTCTCCTTTTCATCTCAAGTCCTCGTCATCATTTCTCCCTAAGTCGCGCCGTTCCAGACCAAATTGTATGTTTGGTTTAACCTAACCTAACTCGACTAATTAAAGGTGCTGTCTCTTGTATCACTGAAAGACGACAAAATTAGAAATTACGATACCCCCAGGAAATGAGAGATTTTGTAGCGTTTTCTCATTTGTAATTTTTTTTCTAAATCCGGTTTTTTTTATACCTACCTACATTTAAAAAAATTGCAAAATTTGCCGCCCCCTAGATTTGCCCCCTTTATGAAATATGAAATATGATAGGTGAGCAGATTTGAGCGACCTAATGGTAACCTCACAAATAAGCGTTATAATCTTATAGAAATGATATAGTCGGATAAATCTCATTAGCCTATCACAATTTTTTCATTTACACAATTTTTTACTATAAAATTAACCGAAAACCAAAAATAACGAGCAAATTATACGAATATCATATAGACACGTCATTTCCTCCAGTGAATAATCACTCGGAGGATCAGGCCAAGAGCCGAAAGGCAGGAGCTAAGACTCTCTTCTGAAGGCGGTGCTGATGGCCATACTTGCTTTTCATGAAAGACGTGGCCTGGCATAAATGAATAAATAAGTAAAAACTGCCTCTGAGCGAGAAAAAAAATGTTCACAACTTCATTCCTGATGAATAAAACAACGAAATGAATGCTTCGTAATTTTTTGACTATCCCGCGAATCTTTCCATGGAAGTGACATAATTCTATCACCTCCGACTTTTGTTTAACACACCCCTCGGAAAGGATACTTTTTCACTTTGTCACAAAAAGTTTTTAACTCAGAGTTTTTAGATCCAATTTGTGGGGAAAAACAAACAGCGGGGGAAACTTTTGACTTGGTCCCATTCACGTTCAGCCGGGAGTTTCAGACGGGTTCTACCCTCCAAACGGTTTCGAGCGAGAAAGATCGTTTCGTAATAGCCAAAATTCTTTCCATTAGTAAGAAAAATACAAAGTGTAAAGATTTTAGTTTTTATATGGTGTAATATAATCTGAAATGTTGGGAGAAAAACACCGAGGAATGTTTTTGTTGAATTTGATCTCATCAGCTCGACATAGACATCCATGCCATGTCATGTAAAAGGACCTATACCTATATGTAAAAGTATCTGAGCCACTGTTTTTATCAAGGTAGACTTTATTCTGTATTGATGCATTCAAATCTGGTATCTTCGATAGTAAAGTGGATTGCTGAGTATTCGAGTTTATCTAATGAACTTTTTGGCGAGTATATCTACTGCCCTGCTACGTAAAAATAATTCGGGTAGAGGTAGCGTAGCATCTCAGAAAAAATCAAATATCGACGGTGAGACTGCTAAAGCGTGTACAACAATAATTGTAATTTCAAAATCTCCGCCTCTATTTTATTCTGTAAAAGAGATCTGACCAGCACCATCGCTTGAAACTTTTACAGAATATTCTTCGCATAGAGATGAAAAAGTACCGTAGTTCTCATGAAATAACGTCAAGTAATGGAAAATTTATGAAAAATCAATATCTACGGATCAAAAATAACAATACTTACAATTAAACTTGCGAAAGTTCTTCCATTTCTACGTATTTGCGTGTCTTAATGTTTCTCAGCATTGTTGACGTCGATTCATAGATTTCCTGGGAACAGATGAAAGTAAGACGTGTTAAAAAAAACCACAAGCAGAACTTGGTATTGGTTTTCTGTGTGCATCACATAACCAGTGGGGAGACGCGAATGATCGATTATCGATATCCGCCCATTCGAAGCTGTGGTACAGAATCGATTATTCAGGTGCTTGTTGCGAACACCCTATCTATCGATCCTTTTTCATAGATTTAAATGGCAGATGGCAATCGATATATCGACAAGTACTCCACGCAACTGCACAGAACCAGTGGCAGAAAGGCCGGAAGGAGTCATTGGGTCAAGGATCTACCCTGATATAATATTTTACAAAACTTTCCACACCAAAGTAGGACTCTTTAATTTTTATTCGTGATTTCATTTTTATCTCTATTCATTTATTTACTTACTTATTTATTCATTTATTACACCGTTGATTCAGCTCCGGAGGCAGCTAGCTCTCGTTCTCGTTGAAATATTTTAAGACATGATTTTCTAAGCAGGAGACCTGAAAGAGGTTTTCTCTCAACTTATTTACAAAAACTGATGCGAATCCACAAATTCAACATTTCTCCAAACCAACCTGCTCTCTTCCATTCCTTCGATGAAATTTTAGATTGCGAGACTTCTAATTTATACTTAAAAAGTTATTTTGCCAGCATTTAATTCCTCAAGAAGATAAACAGACGTGTCTTTAATTGTTTTACTGGAATCATGTCTAGCTATTCAGCAGAAAATACTACGAATGGAAATTGTTACCTGTATGTATTTTCACAGCTCAATACGCAATGTATATGTTTTATGAATCAACTTTTGAAGACCCTTCAATGTTCTTCCCTACCCATCATAAAGAGGTTTTCAACCAACGCCACCAGCATCTAACTTTCTCAGCGAGTTCAGCATAATTTATTTTGGAAACTTGCGGTCCCCAGAGATTCGCCAGCTGTCAGCAGATTGTATCAAGTGTGAAGTGCTTCGGTGACAATTTATTCACACTTGCCGTTTATTTTGCGTTGTGAGTGATTATTACCATATTTGACTCCGAACATGCATCTCCCAGAACCGAGATGCCAAACTTCCAAATAATTACATGTTTCTCTGACGTATGTGGGTCAGTCATGTTGCCAAGCTCACTCTAATATAAAATATCACAAATTTCTAATTTTTTGTACAGAATAAATTGTATTTTGCCTATGTTGCACTGATTTTACTATCGGATTACGAATATATTACTATTGTATGCAGAGTAGAGTAAAATCATTAAAGTTGATTTTGATAAATTCGTTGATTTTCGATGGATACAATTTGATAATTGAAAATCTTAACGTAAAAAAACTTAAATTTCAATGACAAAAAAAAGACATGGGTAATTGGGGTGCCACAACACGAAAATTCAACTGATCGGCTACCCTGCTACATTTCACAAAAACTAAATAGGAAACCTGTTTTTCACTAAAGAGTGTGACACAGTATCTGCGCCATTATAAAATACTTCTGTCGATGCGGAGGGTCCAGTAAAAATTATATGTAGCACAAAATGATGAAAAAAAGGCACTCATGTTCGAATACAAAGTGTTCTCAATATACGAAAGAGCTCTAAGCCATCCAATTTTTATAATTTTTTCGCACCAAAATTTGATATTTTGTTATAATTACACTTCCTCATAAAAAAATGGAAGCATAAAAAGTAGCATGCCTGAAAGGCTTCCACGACAGAAATCATTGCGCTTCACAGAATTTGTCTCGAAAAAAGCAACACAAAAAAAGTGAGGTTAATTTAACATTTTGGATGTAAAATAAGTAGTGTGCTAGAACTTATGAAATGCTGAATTACCCGCCATTGCAGTTGGTTTTACATCTTTGCATTGCTAAAGTAACTTCTTTAGTGGATAATTCAGCATTTCATATGTTCTCACACACTTTTTTTAAATCCAGAATGTTGAATCAACTTCACTTTTTTTTCTGTAAGGGCGCTTAACAATTATTTTCTTCCAACAAAGGAGTGTGCCTGGTGTACTGCTAAATGCCCCCCCCCCACAAAATAA